GGCATCTCATGTTTGATATATGTCATCAGACAGGCATGTGTCTTCGCTAATCTATATTGTTGGTATTTGAGTATGACCCAGAACACCGACTACTTACTACCTTGCTCGTTTAATAAGATCATTCAGTTTCCTGAGGGCAGCCTCTTCAGGTAACTTCGCTATGTCTGCATATAGATCGGATTCTTCCTTCTCAAAAAGACTCCGTTGCTCATCGTTGTTGAGTTTCTCATCCCAAAATGATCCGATGAAAACTCTCGATGTCTAAGGAGGTAAACACTACAAGAGCAGTAGAATAAGCATGATCATCATCACCTCAGGTGTATTTATAACCTTACCAAGGGACCACATAAGAGCACCATACACCCGCATAAGCTGCTGAGTAGTGACCTAATAACCCTACATAACCAACAACAGCTCCAACTGTTATGAGTAGCGCCATCCCAATATTGCAAAGGATGACGCTTACAGCAGTATTACCATATCGCTCTTGTTGAGAACAATCCTTATTTTATTCTCATTCTGACCACATGCTAGAATACATCGACGGAATTCATCAGATATATCCAACTTATGAGCATCAAAAAGTAGTAATATCATATCCACTCTATCAGCAAACCAGTTGACAACACCTACCAACAATACCTTCCATTACCGAATACATGAGATATCACAAATTGTGATTACCTTCGAAATCATAACCTCTTTGCAATCTCTGTTTCTCCCCTGATAGAATACCGGGTGTATCAATGAATGACACACCCTGTAGTACTGGTGATCCCTCCATCCTGAATTATGACCCTGGGCAGCCAGATCCCCTTAGCTGTTACTTGCTCACATCGATGCCTCAAAACGATTCATAAAACCATTACCAAACTGACTGAGCTGTGTGAATGGTAGTGTCCGGTCCACTACCAATGCGTTGCCTAATAATGATGTTGTTAATAGTGGTTGTGGTGGTTAAATGATCATTAGTGTATAGTACCAGGTATAACATGATCTCCTCCACCAGAGCTGCTGCTATCCATAATACAGCAAAACCTTGTATGAATGTAACCCGTGTATGAGTGTTAATGATGTATTACTTGTCAGTAGTAGGCTCTGGTCCAATCCTCATACCAGGATAGTCCCTTTCTAAGAGGTGTCTAATGAATGTAGTCTTTCCAGTAGAATACCTAATGATCACCATCCCCCAGGATTAGCTGGAAGCCATTACTGTCCTATTAACATCACCATTGGTTTAGCATTGAAGTCAGCTGGTGTTAGAGGGGCCGAATAGAAGCGGTGGAAGCTGAAGATGTTGATGTTAGTTTCCAACACTACTACAGTATTTACTCATAGTATTCCTCTATAGGGAGTAACTTGTCCAGATAGATCTCTTCTAGTCCATCTGATATGTTGCGGAAGGTCTCTGTCTTTTTAGATCGTTCGTTATCAGCCTTCAACCAACGTAACATATTAGAAAGATTCACGAAATGGGAGTTCAGAAAAACTAAGTGCTCAGTTCCACATCTTATGATTGTATAGATTATTCTGGCGCGCGCTAAGTTCCGGGTCTTATCGTGTCGGCGTGGGTCTGCCTAAGGTTTGCTGCCATGGTCAATAAGTGCCTGAATGTAGAGGAAGGTAGAGGGAGTTTGAAGGCAGCTTTTAAGGGATGTTGTGCATGTGTCGATAGGACACCACCATCAACGTAATATACGGTCTTATGTGGTTATTATCATTACATAGATGCAGACGACACAGTTCTGTGTATGGTCTGAGTGCTAATTATGATGTTACTGAGACACTTGATGAGCCTATCAGTTGTGCTAGCTATCATAGGTAGGGGAAGTTTGCATTGATCAATATACTACTATTATCATCATTAGTTACACCTATTCTACGGGTGAACATTATGATGGATCTCGTGAAGGTAATACTAGACATGGATGGGGTACATACTTCTATGCTAATGGTGATGTATATTCGGGTAATTGGTTTCGTAATATTAAATCTGGTTGGGGTATATACCTTAGACATGGTGGAGAGAAGTATGAGGGTACATGGAGTTATAACATGAAACATGGTTTAGGATGTCTAGTAATAATAATAACATCAACAACAACAACAACTACTATCGCCGCTTGTACAGGTACATCGTAATGGTACTAGATATGTTGGTCAGTTTGTGGATGATGTTAAACATGGAAGAGGTCTAGCAATGCATCGTAATGGGTTCTCCTCCTCGTCCTTACTGTAATATTATTGTTGTAGGTAATGGCTTGATCAATGCCGAGGTGTGGGATAGGGGTATACTGGTCAGCAAGGCACCTGTATTTGAGGAAATATACTCTAATCATAGTCAGCAGCAATCACAGGATGGTGTTATGTCCCCTAGTAGTGATAGTAGGACCACTACTCCTGTGTATAGTATACCAACGTGTAATAGATTCCATGTCGCCTTTCGAGCCTGGTGGGGGGAATGATAAGATGTGTACGATGGGCGTGTTGCCGCTAGCTCCACCGAACTCTATAATCATACATCAGGTAGTAGTCTTCTTCTGCTATCTGTATTATGTGTTGAGTGGTGACTTTAGGAACCTCTTAGCTCGGAGCTTATGAGTGGGGGATCAATCACCACCCAACTTACTTGAACAACAACAACAACAACACGATAAGGGGGAATTATTACCAGTTACAACAGCTCAGCCTGAGGGATGGGAGACTAAGAGCAATGCAGCTTGCATAGATGAATGGACTGTATCAGACATCGGGGTGGTAATACTCAATTCATCCTATTAGACGGTCTGCGTGTGAGGACATAGTGCTTGTTTATGGGATATGGATGAGACAGTACGCGACTACAGAGTTGTAGTAGTAGTAGTAGTAGTAGTAGCAAACCATATTATATCCCTATACTGCTGACAAGCATGCGACAAGGTTCACCGATAGCAGAATCTTATTAACCGCTTCACTTGCTTCAGTTGCTCACTGGACTAGGCTTAGGCCAAGTACGTGATGCTTTCGAGAAGAATGATGTCGATGGGTTCGTATTTGAACGTTTGGTGGGTAATCTGGATGATGTTGAAGATGACGAAATGTTAGCCACGCCATCTAATGCAGCTGGGGATACGTGTAAGCTTTGTTATCTATTAGTACCGAGAGTTTACAACGTTGCCTTTCTCCCAGCGAATACCACTCCTCGCCGACATAGCAATAATA